GGGGGCAGCCCTGAGGTTGGGGTGCGGGGGCAAGCTGGGATTAGCAAAGCCGAGAGAGGCCCGGAGGACTGGAGAAACTGAGGCGCCCAGAAAGCCCAGGGGCGAGAGCCCGGGACAGGCAGGGACGTGAGCGCCAGCAGGCTACCGTGGGCATTGAAGCAGGACGGACACTGGACGTGCGGGCTGCCCGAGCGACACACCCGAGGCAGAGCGGCGAGCCCGGCTTCGCCGTACACGACCCCCGTGAACACGTTGCTAGAGTCCCTCCCAGGGCCTGGCGGGGCCCTAGAGGGGCCCTGGAGCTTACGTTTCCTTAGGCCTTTAGAGGCTAGAGAGACAGGCTAGGGTGCAGAGACAGAGGACGGGGGTGGGTGGGAGCAGAGACTTCCAACTGCCTAGAGACGCTGAACTGAGCGACAAGACTGGGGAACTGAGGCCGGGTCCCCAGAGGGAATGGCCTGCCAGGAGATGGCCAGTCAGCGGTGCAGCGAGGCCCAAAGCTTAGAGATACAGCTGAAGCGTGCCCAGACACGGAGATGCAGGGGAGCCAGCCAGCCAGCAGCCCTGAGATCAGGAGGCAGAGAGGCCTGGTGCTGTGACAGCCTGCGAGAGAGACCCAGGCCCGAAAGGCTGGGAGGCAGGCCCTGGGGAAAGAGACCCTGAGCCACCCCTCCTCAAGAGGCAGAGGACTGGGCTGTCCTTCAGTGGGGAAGGAACCCCATGAACAGCCACCAAGACAGCCCCAACTTATTTTTAACCTCAAATCTTGGCCGCTTTTTTAGTCCTGGGGGCCAGGGTGAATGAACTGTTCCTCTCCTCTTCTGAGAGCAGCTGCTGGATCCTGCTCCCCACCCTCTCTCCCTAAACTGCTCTGGTTTCCTGACCCCACAAGGGAGGACAGGAGAAAAGCAGAGAGTTTGGGGTTGGCGCCTGCTGGCAGAGCGTGGGAGTAGGGGCCTCAGGTCTCTCCCGGTAAGTCTCTGTCAACTCCTGAGAATGGGAGGGGAGATTCTGCCCTGGTCTGACCCACAACTGTAGGGCCTGGCCAGGGTCCTCCTGGACTGGGGAGGGGGCACACAAAAGGTTGGCATGAGTAGTAGGAAAGGCTTCTGGGTGCCCTCCAGCTGCTGCGCTGACCACTGGGGAGAGGAGCCAGGTCCCTGTGCATCCCCACTCCCCTGCTTTAAGCTGACCACCGATCACAGCCCAGGTAGTGTGCCCTGATTGCACCTCCGGGCAGGCTGAAGCCACATGGGGGGCCGAATTAGATTCCTGACCCACCTTAGAAGTGGTCAGGAGGCTCACAACATGGCATGACCCTGTCTAAAAAAGCTGGCTCCCCACACCCCCTCCAGTCTGCTGCATTTCTAGGGAGAAGGAAACAGGAAAGAGAGCCAGGCTAGGAGGCAGGGGAACTGGGCTTTAATTCCTGAGTGATCCCGGGCAGGCCCCTGCCCTGGCCTCCTGGTGCTCAGCTTTCTGCAGATGGATGATACTCTGTCCTGCCTGATTTTCGTGAGCATCCGTGACACAATGATGCGGAGAACACCATGCTTTGAGAGAGGCCGAGCAGCCCACAGGCATGTTCACCTGTGCAGCTGCACGAAGGCTTCCAGAGTTAATGCTCGTTGCAACAAGGCTGTCTGGACTAGAACCGCCACTGTCCTCCAGTCTCCTCGGCAGTCCCAGGGGCCCAGGTCCTCTTATTTTCGGTGTACACTGAGAATGTCCCAGTAAATCTCAGGCCAGCTCCTTGACCCAAGGTTGCCTGAGAAACTGTGTTCGACCCTCCAGCATGGGTGAAGGGCCAACAGTGAAAATACTGCTAGCTACCATTTACTGAATACTGGTGATCTGCCAGTGCTTTCCAAGAATCCTCACGGTTAAGCCTGACGACGAGCCTGCCTGGAAGCTAGGAAGTCATATTATCTCATTTAACCAAATGGGAAAAGGGGCCCGGGGAGTTTAAATGACTTGCCCAAGGTCACCCAGCTAGTAAGTGAAGGAGCCAGGACTCAAACCCAGGTTTGTGTTTTGCAGCTCACCACCACATACCACAGCCAGAGCCAGCCATCGTGAGTTCCAGTAGGTTCTCTGGGAGGTGCCGTGTGTGTGTGTTTCTAGGTCAGGTATAGGGCTGTGGAGTGTGGAAGGAGACAGGAGCTGAGAGCCATCTGGCAGAGCAAGCAGTCTCCCCTGTACCCCTGCCAACTGGAAGGGAGTAGACTGGTTCCCTCCAGTCCCTCCAGACTTGCAGCCTTGCCAGGGAAGAGGGGCAGGAGGGGAATGGGCAGGGACAGGTGGGCCTGGATGGTGCCCTTCACTCTGTCCTCACCAGAGCCCAGCTGGAGAGACTAGGGGATTGGGGATTCTGGGAAGGAACTGGAAGCCACACCCATGCCCTGTTTGGGGTGCCTGTGTCTCTAAGTGGTGACTGCCTCCCAGAAGGCGGACCCAGGGCTAGCCTGGACCTGGGAAGGTGGCAGCTGCTGAGGGCCAAGCCAGGAAGGAAGGAAAAGGTCCAGGCATTCCCGGACACATGACCACACTCCACCTGTGTGGCCCCCCGCTGCCCAGTGGCTGCTGGCCCAGGGGCTCCTCAGATATTGGGCCAGAGGAAACCCCGGCCTGAGTGGCAAGGAGGGGACTAAAGAGGAGGGGTACCCTCCACCCTACAGCGGAAAGCTATACCCCAGGAATCCCCTCATTGAAGACCCCAGCTCCTGTGGCCTCAAGCCTTGGCCTGGGGTGTGAGTCGGGCGTCCCCCAGGGCAGGCTGCAGACTGCCCTCTCAGTAGAATCAGGCCCTCCAGGCTCAGGGCGTCTTACTGGCTCTCTGAGTTGGAACTGCAGGCCAGAGTAATGCTTGCTTTTCCCATTGGGGTGGCTGAATAAAGGATACTTTTCTTTCAACCTGAGCCCAGGCAGGCCCAGGGGACTGATCTAGTGCAGGGGAGTGGTGGCGGGTTCCTCTGTACGTGCTCTGCAGCCTCCCCAGGTTCGCAGGCAACTGAGAACGCCCCCCTTCCTATGGGTCCTGGCAATTCCTCCCACCACCCTGGGAACCCACCCTCTTAGCTGGCTTCATGGTGGAGAAGGCCAGCGGAGGGGAGCTCTGGCTTTGGGGCTAGACGCTGAAATGAGGGGCGGCAGAAGGGAATGGGAACCCCACTTCCCTCTCCCCCCACTCCCCACCTCCTGTTCCAGAGGCAGCTGTGTGGATGACCTCATCCCGCAAACATGCTTTGTTCCTGAGAAAATGGAAAGTGTCTGAGGTTTGATGGGGGGCTGGGTGTCTGCAGCAACAGCTCTGAGGGCTCCCCCCTGCTTGACATAGGGCCTTACTGCAGAGAAAATGTCCTCAGTGGCGCCTGCTGGCTCACCTTTACTCCCCCTACTCCAAACCCTGAGCAATCAGAAAAGGTGGGGAGAGGCTGTCTCTGCCCGGGTAGGGGGAGGAACGGTGATCCAGAGGATGGGAAGATCCCGGGTTCTGCCAGGCTGCTGGGAGGTGGCAGGGCACTCTGTGCTCGCTTGTCCATGTCCAGCTGCCCTCCACCTCCCCAGGCATCCCCGTTTCCTTTTCTCTCCCCTGTTGTTGGCAAAACCTGACATCTGGCCATCTGTGCTGCCACAGCTGCTGCAGATGTTGCAGGCCAAGGCTGCCCAGGCTGGTGTGAGCAGAGACACAGCAGGAGTGAAGTGGGAGGGGCCCAGGACAGAGGGTCCAGCTGGGCAGCTGGCTGTGTCCAGCTTGCAGGATTTCCTTCCTGCCTGAACCAAGGCTGAGCCTTTGGAGGGCTTGTGGTCTGGCCGATTCTCCTGAGGGGAGGCCCCACTCCCCACACTGGCCCTCTCCACCATCTATCCATCCATCCATCCATCCGGCATCCTCCTACGGTTCCATGGTCCCTAGATCAGGTGGGGCAGGAGCAGCCCATTCCCACCCGCAGCTCCCCACTCCCGCTCAGAGCTCTGGGTAAAGTTCCTTTATCCACATCCCTAGGGTCCTTTCCTGGGAGGCAGAAGAGGGTTGGGAGTGCTGTTCATATGGGCCAGGGAGGGGTGACTCCCTGCCATCCTGGGGACAGTGGAGGCTCAACTCAGACTGAGGCAGGAAATGAGTCACTGACCCAGGAAAAGCCCCCTCCCCCAGATCTTCCAGGGCCTAGATAAGAAAACAACTTCTGCTTCCTGATTTTTCCCCCTGACCCCCCTCCCACCCCCATTGCTACAACAGAATAGAGAAATAAACGTGCAGGACGCCTGGGTTCTGACACACTCTGCCCCTTCTTGAACTGGAAAGGATCTTGCCAGGGGCTCGGCCATAGCCCCTCCGGTGACCCCTGGCCCACCGTACTCCCCGCAGGGCTCCCTCAGGTCACCATGAGTGAGGCCTTCGACTGTGCAAAATGCAGCGAGTCCCTGTATGGCCGCAAGTACATCCAGACAGACAGTGGCCCCTACTGCGTGCCCTGCTATGACAACACCTTTGCCAACACCTGTGCTGAGTGCCAGCAGCTTATCGGGCATGACTCGAGGGTAAGGACTGGGACAGGCAGAGCAGGGTGTGGGTGGAGGCCAGCCAGAAGGCTCCAGGGATGGATCCACCAGGCCTCGAGCCAGTGCCCCTGCCGTGCTCCCTACAGGAGCTGTTCTATGAAGACCGCCACTTCCATGAGGGCTGCTTCCGCTGCTGCCGCTGCCAGCGCTCTCTAGCTGACGAGCCCTTCACCTGCCAGGACAGCGAGCTGCTCTGCAACGACTGCTACTGCAGCGCCTTCTCCTCCCAGTGCTCTGCCTGTGGGGAGACCGTCATGCCTGGTACGTCCTCCGGGCTCCTCACATGGGGGCCATGTGGCCCGATCCATACACGGAGACTTCATGTGCAAAGACCCGCGCACACAGCATGCTCCTGGAAGTTTGGTGTCTGCGGGATTTGTCATGCCTGTGTCCTAGGATTTTAGCATGCACAGGGAGTGGCACAACAGGTGTACACGTGAAAGTTTCATGTGTGCAGAAACGGACAGCTGGTAATATTCCTGAGTGCTCGGTGTATGCTGGACCGGCACGCCTGGCATACACCCGGGGGCTTACATGTGTGTGCAGACTGACACACATGATGCACATCTGGCGCCTCAGCATTTGTGAAGACCTGCATGTTTGGTTCATGTGGGAGCTAAGGGTGTGCTGAGACTGTGAAGCTTGGTGCACCTGGAAGGCTTAGTGTGTGCAGAGACAGATAAAGAGGAGGCTTAACATGTGAGGACTGGCATGCCCAATAGGTAAGCGAGGACAGCATGTGTAGAGAATGACATGCCAAGACATGCAAGAACTTAGTATGTACTGAACCTCCCGTGCCCAGGGCAGTAGAACCTTGTGGGCAGAGACTTGCCTGGTATATCTGAGATCTTGTGTATGTGAGAAAACCATCATATCTGGTCTTTAAAGGCTTAGCACCGAGATTTCATGCCTGTTACACAGAAGCTTGACGTGTGCTGAGATCATCATATCTGGAACATATGGGGAGCTTAACAAGAGCCAGAACCCTCATGCCTGATTTTGGGGACCTTCACACCCAGTGTTTGGGGACAGGAGAGCATGTGGCAGGGTGCTGCATGTGCATGGTCACATACTGCTCAGGCAGTGGGGACCCTCCTGGAGTAGGAGGAGGGTGGCGTTCAGGAGCATGGGCCCCAGCCTCTGAGTGGAAGCCCTGTTCTCCACAGGGTCCCGGAAGCTGGAGTACGGAGGCCAGACTTGGCATGAGCACTGCTTCCTGTGCAGCGGCTGTGAGCAGCCGCTGGGCTCCCGCTCCTTTGTGCCCGACAAGGGTGCTCACTACTGTGTGCCCTGCTACGAGAACAAGTTTGCTCCTCGCTGTGCCCGCTGCAGCAAGGTGGGGGCTGGGCCAGCGGGTGGGGGCGAGGAAGGTCTGCTGTGGGTGGGATCCTCACTGCCACCCCAAGCCCGCTGACGGATGCTGCTCCCACAGACGCTGACACAGGGTGGAGTAACATACCGCGACCAGCCCTGGCATCGAGAATGCCTGGTCTGCACCGGGTGCCAGACACCCCTGGCCGGGCAGCAGTTCACCTCCAAGGATGAAGATCCCTACTGCGTGGCCTGTTTTGGAGAACTCTTTGCACCTAAGTGCAGCAGCTGCAAGCGCCCCATCGTAGGTGGGACAAGGGTCAAAGGACGGAGGGACAGGGTGTAGGCAAGGGAGTGGAATGTACTGGGTGAGGCCGAGGGTCAGGACAGCCCCAGGTCTGCAGCACTAACCTCAGCCTCCCTCTAGGACTCGGCGGCGGCAAGTATGTGTCCTTCGAAGACCGGCACTGGCACCACAGCTGCTTCTCCTGTGCCCGCTGCTCCACCTCCCTGGTGGGCCAAGGCTTCGTGCCAGACGGAGACCAAGTGCTGTGCCAGGGCTGCAGCCAGGCAGGGCCCTGAGCCAGGCTCCAGGACGCAGCTCCTCTCCAAAGTCACCTCTGAGACCCAGCCCCTCCCCCAGGCGGGGCTCCCCCTGGGGTCCAGGATGTGGGCTCCCAGCTCCAACATCCTCAAACTGGTACTCCTGGACCCAGGCTACCAAATCTGGGCTCCCGAACTCAGTCTGGGTTCCCAGACCAAGCCCCCTCCCCAGCTAGGGCTCCAGACCCCAGCCCTCCAAACCTGGACTCTGGGACCTAGGCCCCCTTAAATCTCCATAGAGCTTAGGTCTCCTGTGGATGCCTAAGAGTTCTCACAAGTGGACTCTGCCTGGGCTTGACCCTCCCCCTCCCCATCCCATTCTTGTCCCCAGAGCTGGGGCTGTCCCTGACAGCAGATTGGGGGCTTGCTGGTTAGGGTCCTAGGTATAGAATGTCCAGCCTGTGTCCGGAGAGTGTCTCGTTTAATTTCAGCTCCGTTTTGCCCGGAGATGGGCAGAGGGGTGGGACTGGCTCACCTTTCAGTTTCTGCAATAAAGCAGTGTCAGGAAGCCCAGGCCTCTGCTTGTTTGTCCCTGAGGGGTAAGGATGGGTCCTTCTCAGACCCAGAAGCTGAGGCTCTTCCCAAGCACTGCCATGCGGGGCCGGGGTGGGAGGAGGCCTTGGCCACGGGAAACCTCTCCCCAGGAAGGGGATCCCCGCATGAGCAGCTACTGTCCTCTCCAGCTTGGCCTGCCTCCCCCCTGCTGGTGGAGGGCTTTCTCCCTGTGGGGGAGGGAGGAGTCTGGGGAGGTATCAGGCGGAAAGGGGGGGCGAGGTTCCTTGGTCTGGTACCCACTCTCTGCCCTTCCACTCCCCACAGAACTGCCTGAATCCCACAGAGCAAGCGCCTGGTTCTGATCCCCTCAGTCCTTTTCCCCCCTCTTTGCAAGGATTAGCGGGGGCGGCCCGGGATCCGCTCGCGGCCGCACGTTTTTTGCCAAAAAAGGCAAAGATGCAGCTGCACGCGCCACGAGAACATCTGGATCCGATTCCCGGCATGAATGGGTCACGGCCCCGCCCCGCGCTCCCCCCCCCACCAGCGATTCAGGACGGGG